GTACACTGTCATCTCCACGCTGATTGCTCTGCCGTGCGAAATAGATCTGTCCGTACAGGGAGGCCTTTGATGAGGGGTGCGAGGCAATCGCGAGCCCATTTCCAAGCCAGACTTGCTGTTTTCACACAGGCGCCCTCTTGTGCCTTTTTTTACCCGAGCCCAACAAAAAAAAAACCTTCTTTTTCCTCGTCATTATCGAGAAGATGTTCTATTTTGGCTTCAAATTGGAACCATGTGGACGGGTGTAAATGGCATTTGGATGTTAATGCGTTTTTTTTTAAGTTTCCTTAATGTAGGGAATGTGATGGAAGTAGATTAAATTGAGTCAGTGGAGGGGTGAGCGGCGCCGGGCATCTGGCTGCACACAGGACTCCATTGTTGGAGAGATAATTTGAAACCTTAAATAGGGTAAATCAAGGTCTTTGGATTGATAAGTTAATGTGGAAGAGCACCTGGGAGCACATACCAGGATTTATTTACAGTACATCTTCTGTTAGCCTTATCATCACTCTTTCTCCTCCTGTCCCTTCTTCCCCTCCTCATGTCTTTGCTAATGTCCTCAATTCTTTCTCCTCTCCTCCTGTCTCCCCTACTCTCCTCTCTTCTCCACTGCTCTCTTTGGCAGTGTGTTTGGCCTGTGACGGCCCAGAGGCAGCCATGCTGTCTTCTCCACTCAATCTGCTGTTTCTCTTCTCCCAGGCCCTGACCCTGCTATACTCAGCACACACTCTCTCTTTCTCCTTCTCTCTCTCTCTCTCGCTCCTTCATTCTCTTTCTATCTATCCCTCTCTTCATCATCCCTGTCTTCATCCTCTCCTGCATGTCCCCCCTCCCTTTTTGCTCTGACCCCTATCTGCTGTCCGACCGACTGCAATATCTGTCAAAGACACAGCGTAGACACACAAAAATGCATGCAGGCACATCACCTCTGTTTTGTCCTCTTCCCTCCCTCCAACTCTTCCTCCCAATGCCTCAGCTGTTTGGGTTGAATCTGCCGGCCGGAAAAAAGAGGGCAAAAGGTCACGGAGCTTCACTCTTTGTAGCAGCAGTTCATAGCGAAATATAGAGAGAGGAAGGAGAGGGAATAAGTGACGGTGCGGGCGGGGGTAGGTGGGAGGCAACACAGCTCAGAAGTGAAAGCGTTGGTGACGTAGATAAATGCAGACTGGCAAGTGGACTCTTCTGACATGCTAGAGTGAAAACACAGTGTACAGTACTATGACACAAACAAACACACTCAACTTTAATTGCCCAGAAATGCCCACGCAACAGACATTAGTGTGCATATGCCCAGAAGCGACGACAGTCTAACCCTCCATTTTTTATTTTTTATTTCTCCCCCTACTGCTGCAGCATCTTAGCAAGCGCTAAATACACCGCATCAAATTGCTACTGTACCCCGGCAGTGGAGGTTCTTTGAAATATCCCACAGTGTAAGCTAGTCAGCTGATAGGGTGGCTGACTAAAGCCAGCTAAGAAAAGCCACAGCTCAACCAGTGCAGCCACTGGCCCACTTTCAGCCTCGCACAAAATGAAGAAAGTCCTCGCTATAGACAGAGTGTGAGGCACAAATATCTCAGAGCGCCGCTGCACAGTGGCGTCTCGCTGGGTAATCATCACTTCAGCAGCGCGCGACTTTTGTCCATATGGAATTACATCTTGGAGAAAGCGGGTGCTCTTCCGTTCTGCCCATCGCCCCCTCTAAGTCATCTGCCAATCACTCCCCTAAACCACTGCTCCCTTACTCTTCCGGAAGCCTCTTTTGAGTAAATGTAAAAGAGGGCTAATGGCTTGTTGTGGGCCATTATGAGCAGACCCCCCCTCCCTTCCCTCCCTTCCCTCCCCACTTGGCTGAAAGCTCCTCTCTCCCAGTAACGGAGAGAGCGGGCCCTGCCTGTGGCACCCAGACTGTGCCACTGTTTTCTGGCCCTGGCTCCCCGAACAACAAGGCCCGAGCCCCGGGGGAAGTAACCTGGGACGGAGGGTCTCTCAGTGTTGTAGGGAGGCCTTTTAACACAGCAGAGTGACCCACTTGTATTGTGTTATGTTATGTTGCGGCTGATAGTGTGGGCTCGCGGGATGTGAATATGTAACAAAAGCCTGCTTCAGTGCTGGTGTGCTCTAAGGGCTTTTCTTTGAAGATATTTTCTACGTCCTGATTTCTGAATTGGGTCTTGAAAGGGCCTATGGATATGTTTGAAAGCGACGTTGTGTGTCTTCTCCATAGAAATAACAATTGCTATTGATTATTTTTCAGCCATATTGTAATGCTCTTGCTTTTATTCTGCCAAAGGACGAGTTTCTTTCTGTTCTTATTGGAATAAATCAATAAATAATAATCTGATGGATGTTGAGTGGACATTTAAATTAATTTTTCCCCACAGCTATACCTAAGCCAGAAGGTTAAAGTACTAGTCCAGTCTGAAGGCGACTTATTTGTCCAGAGCTACGGGACAGATGGATTTAAGTGGTTTTAAAGTACTTATATTGATGGCCCAACCTCAGGGGGAGGTGACAGTTTTGAAGGAGGAAAGAGGGGGGAAAAAAACAGCATTTTTGCTTTGATATAACAGCCCAATTCATTAGCACAGTGGGAAACGTCTTCATTTTTAGCCAGCCTGCAGAGTCAATGGACCATGGCTAGGAAATAATCAGCCTCCTTTCAGCGCACACAACACACAAGAGCAGCGCCGGCTAACTACCCCAGCAGCTCGCCGCGCAGGGCAGCCGAGATGTGTTGCAGAAGGTTGGCTGCTTACCCACGAGAGCTGGAGGAAGCGAGGGGTCCTCCCCGCTGATTTTTTCCACCGGTTTGCCTGAATGTGACTGGGGCGAGGAGGCAGTTGGATGAGCACGCAGGGGCAGGGCGCCGAGGCCTCGCGAGAGCCGCTGTGCATTGTGGGTAGCCTGATGGCTCAATCGTAGGTGTAAATGAGACAAGACAATCGGTACCTCGTATCCGCTTGTCTCTTTGACGGCTGTGTTTGTCAAGCTGAGAGAAAAAGGAAAGGAGGGAGAACGGGAGAGCTCTTCTTCCATTTCATGATCCATAGCCCTTATCGTTTTCACCACATCAGCCGGCATGGTATTTGCGATTGCCGTTCTTTACCCCATCTCTCAAATTTTGTGTTATTTTCTTGGCTTTCTTCTCATTTATTTAGCTATTTACATTTCATTAAACAGAACTGCTCAGTTGTTTGGGCTCACTAATGACAAAAAGTTATTTGATTTTTCTATCAAGTGGCAGTTGTTCCCTGAGGCATTGGCTATATATTGACTGGCAATCATCAGCTGATGCTTTACAAAGGTAATTTGTGACATGAAAATGGATTCTAATAGGAATTTAGTAGAAATAAGATTTCTGGCAGAACAGGAATGGCACTCTTGAAGTAATGGTATATGTTTTGCTGAAAGGCATTCATAGTGAAACAGGATTCATTTGTTGAATTAAGACCTCAAATCTGTAGGACTACAGAGGACTCTCATTCTGTTTTTCTCCTCTTTCTTTTCTGTCCTTGTCTCGGCTGCATCGTGTCCTCAGTCATTTTGTCTGCTGCATAACACTGTTTTTTGGTGCTGTTGTGTCTTTTAGTTACAGTTTCAATGCTGCTCAAGGGGTTCTCATACAGTAATATACATTTTATTGCATACGTACAAGACATAAAGAGTGATTTCTGTTCTATTTTTTTCTTTTACAGGAGAAAAAGAGCATTAAAAGTAAGCCATGGTCCAAACTTGTTTTTTCTTTTGTTTTTTTTTTTACTATGGGCAAAGGCATGCTTGGCTTGGTTTGCACTCACCCTCGCTTTTGCTTGATTTTGGTTTTCCATACTTCGCATCAGGTCATGAATAAATTACATCTAACAGCATCTCTATGACATTGGCACTCTTATTAACTCTGGCACTGTGTAACGTCTAAGCATTCGTTCAGGGCTATGGAGTAGACTCCTTCCTTTCTTCCCACCTTACAGTTTTTGTCTCATACTGAGCCAGCTACTCAGCTTTGGTTTGCTGTATTTGGGATAACTATTTTTAACATATTGCTCTGGAATTAACTCTTGCACCGTCTTACAGTAGTCGTAGTAGTCTTAATTGACAGTAGGCTATCTGTCAACCCTGTTGTCCTGGTGTACCATTGTAAGAACATAATTTACTTTCCACAATAATACAGTAGACGTAGTTAATCTTGGGGCCAGCTCCTAGCTAGGTAATTGGTTAAGACCCCTATTAGTGGATTTAAGAGGATATCAGGGCGATTTAGCCACACAAAGCTATTAAGCTACTTAGATCAGAATGTGATTGCCGTCTGTCAATCACCAGATAAGAAAATAGGGTGTTGTTGGCGCTCCCATCTCACAAATATACTCACCCACACACATTACAGACACGAACACAGAGCAGGCGTAATTGCGGATCTTAAATTTTAGATCAGGGCACAAACTGACCTCCTCCCTACTCTCTCCATCGCTGCCCCCGCCCCTCCCTCCCCTTCCGCTCTCAGCACAAACACGTTTTGAAGCATGACATTATTTCAACTCTGATTCACGCCACTGTTTTTTAGTTTGAGGCTGTTGTCGTAGCCGGTGGAGTCTTCTTTTCATTGTTGTTTTCTGTTGCTGTTTCTGTCATGTGGTATGGGTTCTGCATGAAAACATGCAATTTTATCCGTACAAGCTTAATTCTATATTCACTAGTGATAGTTGAGAACTTACATTAGCTGTGACAATAGGTGCCTGGTAACCATCGTGACCAGTTTTTATTGTTTTTCACCTTCTCCATTAACATTCAGATGCGGTGATGACCTCATTAGGGAGAAAATACAGATTCACGCATCTAAGTACGGAATTCATAATAGCCGAATCATGTGACACATACCACACCAAACACTTAGTGCTAGGAAATGTATTTAGTCAAAAAAAGGTAGCTTATCATTAATATCCCACTTAAAGGGAAACAAACAGTATCATTTACTTTGGTTTTTCTGCTTCTGCTTCCTCTAGACGCCCGGCCCTTGCCTGATGTAGCCATGACTGGCAAGTGCACCCGGGAATGCGACGAGTACGGCCACTCGGACTCCTGCTGGATGCCTGTGCGCACGTCGCCTGAGCGACGGCCATCCAAGTCAACCACCACCCCCCAACAACCAAAGCTTTCCACTTTCATGAGCGGCAACGGCAGCGGCAGCAGCAGCGCAGAGCAGCCCGGCAGCCAGGAGACCCTCGCCATGGCCGCCATGGCCAACGGAGACCCCACCGCCGCTCACATGATGGGCGACCGCAATCGCAACCTGCTCAACAAGAAGATGGCATCCTCCTCCTCCTCCTACGAGGCCTTCGGCTCACCTTCCTATGGCTCGCCAGGAAGTGGGGAGGAGGCGCTGGGCCACCCCACCGAGGAGATCCCTCTGGCACCTACTGGGGAGTACAAGCCCACGTCCTGTGGTACTCTGACACGACGGGAGGTGTACCTGTGAGCTGGGATGGTTTCTACGCACCTGCTGTGCCACAACATATGGCATTAAAATACAACACTAAGCATAGTTGCTTACTCACCACCGTTACAGCTCTAGAAGCTTTTAGCCACCCTTGTTCTATGCAAGGTAGGACTAAACTTTCTCCAAAGACTTTTACAACAGCTCCTTAATGAAAAATCTAAGTGGATATATAAACATAGTACCATTTTTAAAGTGCTAATTCCGGCAATGACCTGGAAAACAGGAGGAGGAGGAAAAACTGTTGAGGGCATTGATGGGACTTGGGATGAGGCTGTTCAACTGGTGAGTCGGGCTCTTGAGACGTGATCTGCTGCCTGACAGTCAATCTGTACAGTAACCAACTCATTTTACATATACAGTACATGCATGCATTACCCCCGGTCCCCCATGAAGGCCCCTTTCCCTGAAGATGACACTGTACAAAAAGAGACCATTTGTTTTTCTGTTTATGTTTTTTCTAGAAACAAAGTTGTACATGTGGACTATTTTGACTTCAGAGGTGTGTCTGGTTATGCCTTTTTTTTATTTCAGAACTGTGCAACACCCTAGCCATGATGTTCAGTGGCTGCAACAATATATTGGACATAATGGTCTCTATCATACTGAAGCTGTCTGTGGATTCCGTCATCTTGACTGTTTGTGATAAAAGTTGCTCAATAGCAGACCAAAACTTGACCGTATTCAATTCTTATAGGGACGGGAAAGACTAAGCTTTAAATACACAGAAAACAACACTTGTCTCAGTCCTCTCTTGAAAGGGAGATTCATGGACAGAAATAGGAACCAATGGAATTTGCTGCAACAACACCTTGCTTCAGACTACAACACCACTGGTATACTATGATGAGGATGAACATATGATGACTGATTCTAACTGACCAGTGCGTCCGCTCTTCACCGGTGATGAGTCACTCATTGTACATAAACATTGGACCACAGCAACAACGCTAACTGCTTTCATTCCCTTTTGTCTTGCTACCTTTCCTCAGTCTCTCGTTCTTTGTCTTTGATTGGCGAGGTTGAGACCAAAACCCTCTTACGAAATGCAAAATTAGAGCCATGACGTATCACAGCGTTGGCTGGAGAAGCATGTGTATACATGGGTTGTGCATATTCAGATCGCCTCAGTGGGATGCTACTGTTTATATCAAGTTGTTATACCTACCCTGTTTTTTCACACATGCAGACACTCACACACACACACACACACACACACACACACACACACACACACACACATACACATACACAGAAGCAAAGAAGCAGATTCATTTAGCTGAGGCCAGTGGAGCTGCTGCACTGACTGAAAATCCTGGGTAAGCACAGCGCGTGGCATGCCGAGATTAAAATTATGGAGGTGCAATTGAAATTGTATGTGTGTTTGGGCCAGATATGCAGTATATAGTGTGTGTGTTTTGGCTATATTTAGTGTATACTATAGATGTACACCGATAATAGGCTTAGGAGGGCGTAAACATGGCCAAGCTGGTCCTAAAACAGCTGCAAGGACAGCTTTTTACTGTTATTTCTTTTTTTGGTTGTGTGATAGACTGAGCAATAAATATCATAATGTACACGTGACCAACAAGCATCAACTTCTTTTTCACTTCTTCTCAAGCCTTCAAGGTGACATTAACCCACAGTAGTACATGGTGATGGCATCTTTGAGCACGAATGTAAGAATCAGCTCAATGGAGAACAATCAAACAAAGGCAACTTCTGTACACGCAGATACCAGGAAGTTTTTGGATTACAGGCTGAGGAAAGTGGTGTCAAAGTGAAACCAAAGCTTCGCAAACAGGATGAAGCATTCCCCCATCACACACAAAAATAGCTTTCTGGGAGAACTTTGCTTTAAGTACACATTACATGAAGATTTTTTTTTTTAGTGAAGGATTGAGATTGAACGATAAGAATGTGATGTCTCAACAACACATCCACCCCATCCTCAGAACCGAAGCTTAATGACCACTTAACACACAGACACATGACAATGTTGAGATGTTGTGCCTCCCGGTCTACAGTAATGTTTCTTTTTCGCAGCTACACAGGCGCAAAATCTCATGACTGTAATAAAGCAAAAGAATATCAGATGCAATGGAACTTTTTGTATGTTAGCAAAACCCCTTTGGTTTGACCGGAGCTGCTTTTTCTGCATTCCGGCAATCTATAGTCTGTAAGTACTACTTGTTGTTCGAAAGAAAGTGCTCCTATACTTATCAACTGTATACATAAATATTTACTTTTTACTGCACGTTTAATGGGAACTTACTTCACTTACTGAGAAGGAAGAGGAAAAAAAAACTGTAAAACAAAATGTACAAAAAAAATGTTTTCCCTGTAAACATGGAAATCCACCTTGTTGCTTGCTTTTGTTATACCTAAAGAAACATGTAGTACAACTTAGTACATCAGTTAAGACCATATCGTTGATCTTCTTTTAATTTTTTCATACTTAATCAAATTTCATCACCGTCTCTTGTATCACCACACAAACCCAAATCTCTCATCTACATCAACTTTATACCAAGAGATTTGCAAAATTTTTACCCTCATCTTGTATTTTACTTTGTAATCCCGTACGTTGATTTCTTACACGATAACAGTCAAAACCGTGGAAATGATCATGACAATGTACTATGTGTTTTACTTTTTTTCTTTATCTGGTGCCACTTTGTATATTTAGAGTGCTTCTGAAAAAAGGAAAAAAAAAAAAAACATAAAAAATACTAGAGTGAATGCAAATATGCAATTGTGCCTTTTTATACCAATTGGTATGATTAAATGTTGGTTTGGAATGGTGCATAAACAATTACGTTGACATGCTTACAAAAGTAGATGGGGTAGCATTTAAGACCGGACTGAAAACCATTTGCATATCTTAGATGAAATCCCATGATGTCAAAGGCTTCTTGGAGGACTACCAGTCAAATGTCAGTGAGCCTGTCAGACTAATACAAATGGCTATTGTTCACCAGGTTCAATTATCTTGTTGAAATATCCATTCCTAGCATAGTGCATTACCGAATGAGTACAGGTACATTCAAAAGTTGCTTGTTGGTAGTAATAATATGATATAATGGATTTTTTTGTCGTGTTCCACTCATGTACATGTATGACATCAAAGGTCAAGTAACCTTCTTTGTGCATGAAACAAGCTCTAGGACTGAATATAGAAGCATAGAAAGATAGTGGGGGGAAAAAAAGAAAAAAAATGCTTGGAGACATTTGACTGCTGAGAGTTGAGGGAGCCTAGAGATAAAAATGCTAATGTGACGGTTTACTAGGAGGAGTGGAAGTGGGGGGGGAAAAAAGCTGCAAGGGAGAGTAGCTGACAGAACACGCACCTCAGGATGTGCCGAGCAACACAACACTCATACACAGATTCACAGTATATGCATATCAGTAGGTGATGAAACCCCGTCCTACAAATAAGCACGGTATGATGTTTGCTATGATATTGCGAGGTGAGGCTTGGAATTTTCTAGATCAGATGAAAGGAAAACAAAGACTCTGTAGTGTGAACCTCAGACGAAAAACAGAAGACATGAAAGAAAAAAATGCCATATATTGGCAACTATGCTGATTACAGTGTACATTAGTTAATTTCTGATACTCAGTTACTTTTATTTTCTGATATTCAGTGAGGTAACTGCTACAGAAATCTGAACGAGTGCAGGTGGGATTTTTCGTGATGTACGTAACTCCTGCCATCAAAATGTGCGCGTCTTGCTGCCTGAGGTGTGTGTTCAGTCCGTGCTCTCCTCTATTCATATAGCCTTCACAGTGTGTAATGAGATTTGTAATATTAACCATTACTATTTGTCCTGCGACTTGGATGTTGATATAGAAATTGAGGAACAAATTTATCATCGTTTAATATGAGTCACTATGCACGCAGCTTAGCTGAACATGGCAAAGTGTATTGAACGCAAGTCCACTTCTATTTATGAGATATTTTACATAATTTAATTTGCTTTTGTACAGGTTTGTGTAAATAAATTGCTTGTCATTTTTGTCTCTGCAGAAATTAAAATATAACATGGTAAAACAAATACTGTTTTTGGTTTTGTCTTTTAAATAAAAAAGTATTAATTTAAGAGCCTTTAATTGCTTAAAGGGCAACACCATAATCCAGTAATGATCTTTTTGAAACTAATGCAAACAACTCTAATTATTTGCTTTCTTAAAGTCACTGGTGGTAATTACCACTCATCTAACTGAACTCAATATTAACTGCTTATCATATTATTGGACATATGTAAACACTGTATTCCAGCCACTTCCATGCATAATCAATCTGCTAACCAAACTGTGTAATAATCGAGTTTCATTTCAAGATAAAATATTCAATATTAAGTGTAATGATCATATTCTGTTATATGAATTATTATTTTTTTACCTTTATTTTACCAGGAATATTCCAATTGAGGTTCATTGAGGTTACATTTAGACAAACAGCATAAAAAAATCATATAAACAAAACAAGCAAAGGACTAATATTTCATTAATTAAGTTTTTGGCCACTTGAGGGCAGCAAAGCAAAGTAGCTGTAGTAGTGTTAGCAAACAGCGCTTATTTACACATATCAGACATGGAGCAACATTTGGAGTTTCTTCTGCCCACCTGATGACTGTAAGTACACTCCCTTCTTCAGCTAACTTTGTCCGCTGTTTTATTTTGCCAGCCAGGTAGCGTAGTGTGGGTTTATCAGAGCTTTTTTCACTAGCTGCCTGCTGTGGCGGGAAACAAGGTTGATCGGCATGGAATTTTAGATCAGAAAAATCAAAACAGTGGGCTTAAGGAAACTTAAAAGTTCTGCGGAGCTGACGGGACATACAGAATTAGTGTGGGTTTGTAACTATGAGCTACATTTTCAACTTAAAACACGGTCATTTGATTTAATGATAATGTGAAAAATATTGATTAGTGCAGCTTTAAGTTACAGGTCAATGTAAAAAAGGTTTGATGCAAAATAAACTGATGATACCCTTCAGAGAAGAATACAGAAGGATATAAATGCAGTATTGACATTTGATGAGTCTTCTGTTGTGCCTGTGCAAGTGCGTGATATTAATGTGGAGCAACTATCATTCAGAAAGGGACACTAGCTTTTCCCCTACAATGTCAGCTGTATATGTAAAATTTGAATACGTAATGCTTGTGTTTATGTGCACTTGCCTTCTTACGTGCATATATTCATATGTTTTTTGGGGTGCTTTTCTTATCCTGCCTGGGTGATGTATGAGGTGATTACAGTCTAGGTGATTAGAGATCTATTCCACTCCTTCCCTTACGCTCTGATTAACAGCACGCCGCACCCTCTCCAGCACCCTCAAACCACTAATGGAGTCTTAATAGAAAACTACAATGCGCTGTAAAATTACATCTCCAAAGTTCAATAATATGGAGAAAGTTTTCCTGTCACGGTAATATTAGAGGACGTATGGTAAGAACACAACACGCTGTAGTATTGTGTCATACCATTATTAACTGGAGAAAAACATTGTTTTTCCACAGGGCTGGGAAGTTTTTGTTTATGTAGGATTTCAATAGGAAATTCAAAAGCGTGACGATTTTTTCCCCCTGCATGTTTGTCTTCAAAAGATGCCACTTCTAAGAAATACTATGTTTGAATCATGTTGATATGCAAATGGTCTCACTCATTTTCTTGTCCTCTCTGAAGCATTTTGAATTGCCTGGCATGGAATAATCAGCGGGTAGTATTAATTTTTCTGTTGAGAGAGAGGGAAATTAAGACAAATTAGAATGAATTTGAATGTAATTAATGTTTAAGCGATGCATACCAATGAACTGTTGTGAGATTTTTTTTTTTAATGAATAAAACAGTAACTGAATACTATGAATACAATAAATAAAAATGAGGGCCATTGTACAAAAATTACTAGGTGCATTGATATCACTGGATAGTGTGAGCCGTCAATATTAGCCTAGTTTATGTTCAAATGATTAGCTCTTAGATGGTGCATATCCAAAATTTGATCTTTCTCCCCAGAAAATTTTGTTTGTTGGCACAAATTGTGAAACAAGTCTTATCAGGTCAGCATCATCAGGTTTGAGTGGTTGTGATTGTCGCTGCAGATTTTATCACAAAAAAGTGCTGCACAACAACTTCACAAGCACCTGATATGTTTGCATTGGCAGCAACGTACACCCTCCTGCAGTTATCACCAGCAATCATACCTGGCAGTGTCCTGTTATCAACCGCCTCCATGCAAAGTTGCAAACAGCCTCCTGCACATAAAAGAGGTCAGGCACTGACCTCCCACACAGGTTTCACTTTGAAAATACGAGCCCTGAAAGAGGCATAGGTGAAGCCTTGATAGTAATCAGGCATTCACCTGAATCAAAGGTCCATTCTGCAGTGGTGTCGTGTTCAACCAGCCTATGAGGAGAAGATAGTGTGGGACAGACAGGTAGATAAAACTGCAGGCACGGGAGGAGAGAAAAGGGAACGGCCTCGGTTTGCCTATAGGGCAAAAGAGAGAGATAGAGAGAATATCAAAGATACTATTCCCCAAGCCCAAATATGTAAAGCTAATTAATGAAATCATTGATCACTTCTCCCACATCAAACATGAGGTATGCCATTTTAATATAAATTCCATTCCCATTTATGCTCACTGGTGCGAAATAACGACTCAAAATTACATCAGCACGGGGAATTTGACCATAAACCTTAGAGGAAGCTATTTGATATCCACAATTTATGGCTTTTTTATTGTCTTTGAATTTTATTTTTCTAGCGCAACTGCAGGAAATGGCATCCGAGGAATAGCAGTTAAGGCTTTGTTAAATTGATTTCTATTTCATATTTATTTTACGAATGCGCTGAGGGATTGAGGGCTAACTTTTTTTATGTGTTGTGGATGGAACAAATAAACAAGTTCATAAGGAAACTCCTGCAATAACCTTGATTTAATTGTGATCACATAAATTTCATCAGAGTTTATTTTGCCGGCCATCACACCCCCGAGGATGATGTCATTACAGTTAATTCCATTGCTTTCACTGCCGAGATGGACACACACACATACAAAGTGCAGTCACTGCCTCACGCCTGTGATCACATTTAATCTGCTGAAGTTTTCTGATGGAAATCTTTTCGTTCCAGTGAATTTGTTTGCTTTGTATTGTTGTAATTTTGATTATGGTGGGCTTTGTTTTTATTGCCTGAACAGTTCTGTCCTACAAAGCCAGGGCAGTGAAGTTGAGATAAAAGGGTTTCAGGCAGGATGGCAAACTATAAAACGGACAGAAAGGTTGTAATACTTTTATTTTATGTCTTTTAAGGCTGATTATACCCAACCCAAAAAGAAAAAAAAATGCCATAGAACACAAAAAATTCTGATACTGGACTCTGCCTTCGGATAATCCTCACAGAAATACTAACAAAATATGTTCACACATTTCTTATCTTTAATTAGTTTGTTTAAGAGTAATTAAACTGACTGGCTGGCTGACTGCGCTATAGGTCATGAAGCCTGCTGCCTCCATGTAAGCAGATGGAACATGGGCCAAACTAAAATGAATCAAAGTACGCATCAAATGTGCACATCAAATATTTTCAATTTACAGACAAGAACTGGGGGGGGGGAGAAATCAATAACCAACCATAGGTTCAGTTTTAGATAAGGCTTGACGCGGCTGTCTCACAAGCTTTCACTTGATACAGCCCTCTTATTTTAAGGTTTTGGCTTGGTTTTTAGGTCAGTTTGTAGTTACTTACTAGTTTTTTAAATGTTTGAGCGACTCGATGCTCTCAGAAAACCTTTGGTAACATACATGTACTGTGGAAGAAGAAAGGTTGCAGCATGAGGCCATCTCAGCAGTTTTTAAGCTCCATCAGTCATAGTTTTTGCTCTCATCCCTTCAGTTTTGTACATGACGAACAGTTTTCACCTGCAAACTAGGACACAGAGGAGGCAGGAACTGGATGGGCAGAGCGGAGGCGTGAGTGATATCTTTCCAGTGTGCGCAGGTCACTCGTTATTACCCACAAGACTCGCCGTGACCCCTGTTGTCACATGATAGATCTCCGACAATGACCTCCAGCCAATGCGGAGCCATTCACGTGATCGCCTGGCGAGCATGAGGTATGAATGTTACTTGTTGTGAGGCCAAAAATCTGCAGTGGAACAGGCAAATGTACTCGCACCCATTAATCACACATCAGTTGTAAGTTGAATGCACACAAATTTATATGTGCTAGATTTATGTGGCAGAAGCAATTTGACAAAAATCCATACAAGCCTTAGTAGTTGGAGCCGGGCCGTGATTAATGAGAACTACTTACATGAGAGAAAGTGAGCGGGTGAGAAGAAAAGGGGAGACAGGGCTGGAGGAGGCAGAGAAATGACAAATAGATGGCAGTAGACTGTGGGGGAAAGGGATTGAGAAAAAGGTGACTACTTGATTGACTATCTGACACCCCCCGCCCCCTGACACCTTACATCCAGACTTTATGTTCTAAAAAATAAGCCTCGACAAATGACAAATACATTTATTTATTGCAGCCAAACTCCCACTTCAAAATGTTCTTTCTTCTGGAAGTTGTGGAAAAGAAAACTCGTCATTTGAAAGCCTGAATGCCGCAAAATTTTCACCAAAGACAAAAATAGATTTTATTTGCACAGAACTTTACCAATTTCTTCACTTTTACTAAACTGAGCACATTTTCCCGGGAAGTTTAATGCATTCACCTTTGACAAGGCTTTTCTGGCATTCAGAGTTTAAGGCTCTTTATCAAAAACACTTCAGCATTATGTGATTATGAACACGCTCAAAGTGGCTGCCAGGTGTGCTATAAAAAGAAACATTTTCAGTAGAAAATATGGTGAGTGAAAAAAAAAAACCTTTGAAATGTTCTTGTTATTGTTATGTCTTGTTATGTTGTAAAGCAGAATTTAAAATCTAAATTCAAGGTTACTGAATTAAGAAGAGTCCAATCTGAATGGTAAAACCTGAACAGAGTAGCAGTGAAGAACATCACATTGAAATGTTTGACAGTATTTAATTGAATTAAATTATGCAG